TAATGAAGGGTACAGACGTGTAGCTGACTTCTTGCTGTAGTCGACACAGTCCTGACAGTCGCAGTGCCAAGTAGTTTTGCCGCACCATTTCTCAGGGGAGCAGCATGGGTACACACCGCCAGGGTCACATTCAGCCGGACTGCCATCTTCTAAAGGAAACTCTGGGCCACATCGCCCATCATCGCGCCACTTCTTATACCCTGTTGAGGAATACCTTTATTCTGGGAGCACCGCTCATAATAAGCTAAAATTACATTGGATGCCTTTAAAATCAAACGACATTACATATAGTTTCAAAATGGAAGGTATAGATTGCTATAGAAATGAAGCCGTAAGTAGAAAGAACTTGTGGTGACATACCGTGCGTCAGCTGGCAGATGAATTTATTAGAGAAATCGCACCACATGCTATCCCATCCTTCCATCCACCCGGAGTAGTGTGCGCAACCTTCAGGCTGGTTCGGTACCCAGTTCCCCCAGTCGGCGGTGATGTTGTGTGGAGTCCCGTCTGCCCACTTCCACTCACCCTCACGGTGCTCATAGCTCAGTCCGAACCAGAAATATCCATACCCGGGCCCACCCAGGGCGTTCTTCAGCCTAAACAAGAAGGCGTCGAGCTGTTTGTTCTTCGGCATGGCCAGGAGCCCCCCGTCTGCTGCGCATTGCTCCCTGGCCTGGTCGTAGGTCTTGCTTTGGTTGTACACCTTGTAGAATGCACCATTATGCGCAATGTAGCCAGTAGGGCAACCTGAAGAAGCTATTATAATCCTTAAGTTAAAGGTTGTAGGTTTTGGTTTGGTTGCACACCTTGTAGAATATCATCATGCGCAACATAGTCAGTGGGACAGCCTAAAGATTTATTATTATCCTTCACTTTGCACTGAAGCTATGTGTTATCCGTGAGTCACTGTGCACTGAAGCTAGGTGTTACTGGTTCACTGTGCACTGAAGCTAGGTGTTACTGGTTCACTGTGCACTGAAGCTAGGTGATACTGGTTCACTGTGCACTGAAGCTAGGTGTTACTGGTTCACTGTGCACTGGAGCTAGGTGTTATTGGCTCACTGTGCACTGAACCTATGTGTTACTGATTCACTGTGCACTGAAGCTAGGTGCACGTGTTACCTGTTCACTGTGCACTGAATCTAGGCGATAGATTGCGGCCCCACGCGTAAAGTAATTGTCCAAAAAATAAAATGACGTTACCTTGTGAGCTAAAGGGGGTAAATGACTGTGTTGTTTCTGTTGTCCAGAAAGGGCCATTTGTAAAACTTGTAATTGGCTGTAATGGAAGACCGATTGAATGATGTTAGGTTGCTGTTTTACGTTTAAAAGTATCGATCATATGAGATTCCACAGAGACGGAAAACCTCCAAAGAACGAGGGTAGGAGACGAAATGTTACTTCATCACTAAAAAGCTTTAAACAATGAATAAAGAGACTCAATTAAGACAAACAAGAGGTTTATTAGCCGACGTTTCGGTGACCGTCAGTCTCTTTCTTCAGGGCAATTCTGTCACCAAAACGTCGCGGCTGAATAAACCTCTTAGTTGTGGAAAAAGAGTCTCTTTATTAAGTGACTAACCAAGCTGACAAAACTATTTCAGGGAGCTTTAAACCATGTTTAGAGTTAAATATTTAACGGCTAGTTGTAAAAAAAAACCGTTCGGTGTAATATAGCAGGAGCGCCGCGTGCCTGCCAAGCTCGTGCGTTACGACGAGGGACGGTTATACCGGCAAATACAGATAAAGATACAGAACGCTTACCATTTGGACATCCTGGGCATACTTGTAGAAAGATAAACCGGTGATAATTCCGCCGGCGGTTAATAACAACACGACAATAGCTGTTTTTAAAAAAGTCGTCAAGGCAGGATATCTGCGTCCTGGAAAATAACAACAATAACGTCAAACAGATGGAAATGAATTCCATTTGTCAATTCCTTTCTAAATTGAAATATTATTGATATACGGTCTTTACTGCGAAACAACGTTATGTTGACCACGCTTATGGTGACCACGCTTAATGATTTAGATACATAGGCATGATAGTGATATATTCATGCCTTGTCCTGTGTAAGTATAACAGGAACTTTATTGACACAACAAAAGTACAGCGACTTTCGTAAGGTCTAAGACATGTAGATATACAGACAAATATACATGTGTACAACGAAAATATACTACGTACAGAACAATAGGTGGGTCAACTTATACTACTTGTTCTAAGGTCTAAACATTCTTTTATATATTTACCTATTTGTACACAGTAAGGGTTATTGCCTTCTAGGATGAACTTAAATTTATCTATAGCATGAAATGTAACAAATTCTGTTGAGCAGGCGGAGAGAAGGTTGAACAGCTTTGTGCGTTTATCGTTATATAGTGTACAATTCAAAATAAAATGTTGTTCGTCTTCAATATCATTGGGACAGAACGGACAAAACCTCTGGTCGCGAGGAATTTTTTTATATCTTCCTAATTCTAAATTCAATTTATGGCTTGAAATTCTCATCTTTGTAATTGATCTACGAACTTCAAAATTGTGAATTTCAGAAAGGTAATTTTCTTGTCCGTACCTCGTCGTTAACATCGAATACTATACTGGAATAAAACTTCTACAGGCTCTCGTCTTCCCCCGCACCATCAGGGAATGGAACGAACTTGAGCCTGGTGCGGCGGAGGCGGGGTCTCTCGCCCAGTTCAAATCTGCTGCATTGAGCCACCCCATCATTAGACAGAACGTTTGAATTGCTTTGAATAGAAGGTATGGTATTCTTGAATGTAAATATCCTGTAAACGACGTCGTAATTGATCTGTAAACATATCAACGTGATACAACCTAGGGTTTGTCCATACATATCCAAAACCGTTATAATTAAGAATGTCGTGTATATGATTTACGCAGTCAGAATCAGCGGAATGTAGAATATTGTATGCCAGTCGTGGAGTAGAGCGTCTTCGGGTAAATTTTCTAAACGGTGCCAGTATTTTATACGTTTTATTTCGTCATCAATCATGACAGGAAATGTTCCCAATTCGCCGCGAATTCCGTCATTTGATGATTTGGAATTCACACCAAGTAGAAATTTCTGGAAATTCATTTCAATAATATCAAATTCTGTGATTTTTAGTGGAAGATGCACATTTTCAATTGCAAGGTTGTCTTTTTCTAATATAAGGCCAGACGTAAGCCTTAGTAATTTATCTTTGTCTGACTTTTTCCTAAAATGGATCACGTAAGAGTGAGTGGAGTCAGAACTCACACTCTTTCTTATTGTTACAGGTAGACAGTCATTCAAGTCAAGTTGATTCAGAAGTATAGATAAGACATTTTGGGCGAAGATTCTGGAATTCGTTTGGATACAATGAGTTTAGCTGTTTTAGAAGTTTGGTCAAAACATGTTAGTTCTACCCCATACAGAAAAATAGGCCTAGGGCGTATGAATTTATTGAATAAGCTTTTGCCTAAATGAATTGTGATATTTTTTTCAGAGAATAGAAGTGATTTAAGCTTTAAAAGTGCTCTCATAGCTTTCGTCTTTAACAATTTTCTAGCTGTTTTAAATTTGCCCGAAGACGTCAGTGGTACACCAAGATAATTATAGCTGTCAGTTACTTCTATTTCTTTACCGTATATATAAAATTTGTTACATAATTTGTTAGTGGGGCCTTTTGCGAAAACTAGCACTTTCGTTTTGGATACATTCACGCTCAATTTCCAGTTGTTACAATACGCTTCTAAATTATTAATACAGTTCTGAAGCCCCTTTTCAGACAACGAAATTAGAGCAAGGTCATCTGCCCAAGACAGGCAGTTAAGCGATTTGTAACTTAAAGAAGCAGCGTCACATTCGTTACAATCAAAACATTGTGGTGGGTCATTAATAAAAAGATTGAATAACAATGGGCTGAGATTGCAACCTTGTCTTACTCCACATGTCGAGGCAAATGGACTTGATAAACCATTTTGAAGTCTGACTTTTGCGTGGGAGGGAGATGGACTGAAATATGCTGTATTTGCTCCCAAGCAAATGTCGGCCTCTCTAGTTAAGTGATAGTTTTCCGTCAGGATTTTTCGTGTGTTCGGGTTTCATCGCTTGTGTTCGGGAAACGAGCAAATTCAGCGGCAGTGTTAATTTTTCACGACGTACATGCATGTTGCCTTTTATATTGTTTACCCTTCAAAAAGCTATACATGATACGCTTAGCATGCCCGTACGTTCTTCCCACTGCTTTTGAAAATTTTGAAAAATAAAACTTCTGAAATGGCATTTCATGCGTTTTTGAGAGGATTTCAAAGAAAAAAAATCAGAGATGGCAAAGTGAGCAGTTTTTCTACGATTCCAGCTCCGATGGTGGTTCATCTTTTAAAGAAAAATCTTGGACCTCTAGCTAAAAAGTGGACCAAAAAGTGGACATTTGAGCCTTGTGGGGGGCGTCGTCCGAACGGGCATGCTCAGACATGGCACTGACTGGTCAGTGATGGGTCATCGACTGTTTCAAATGACAACGACCGTTAACGAGGCGGAAACACGCAGCTAGCGGCGGTGGTGGCAGGATTTCTGCACGTTTGCACCACGTAATGACGTCACATTATTAGTCTATCCTGCGGCGCAGTGGGACATAGAATAATCAACTTCCAATATTAATGATAAGAAACGGAATTACAAATTTTGGCTTATCAGATGCCGACCAAAACTGTTTCCAATTAAATTTTGAGGGGAAAAAGAAATACACAATAGATAATACGACATAATATAATGAGTGCCAAAATTCCCTTAATTGTATTCAAAAAGGTCTATATAACCTGCTTTCCTGGCAGAGTTTAGGTCTGTGTTTTACTATTTTCAAGCTGTTTTAGTCGTTTTCTTAGGTTTTATATTTGCGTCGTATTTTCTTTGGATTCCCACCCTAGGACATAATCGACAGAAAATGATTTAACCAACAATTATATATTAATTACATTTTTCACAACAAAACAGTATTGGAAAAATCACCGTTTACGTACCCGTTGTCTTCCTACTTTCATAAAGTCTCTCTAATTCCTCTTCAGGTGTTGAACCCGCCTGTATCGACACCCCTGTGTTCTCCAGACTCTCCGTCTGTAGTAAGCCGGGCGGTTTCTTCTCCATTTTTTCTTGACTTGTGGCGGCCAGAGTTTCCACCGTGCGGTCTTCAACTGCCAAAGTCTCGGTCACTTTTGTGTTCCGAACCTGTTCGTTTTCATCCGTTGATGCGGCTTTCATCTCGTAGAAGGGCTGTTCCTGTTTCTCCGTGTCTTTTGCAGCGGTAACGTCCATCTTGTAAAACGGTTGTTCTTGCTCTTCATCCGCAGGGGCGACGTCCATCTCATAGAACGGCTGAGCTGTGACATTTTGGATCGCATCTTGTGCTGCCAGAAAGTCGGGGTCTAAATCGGCATAAACGTGGGTTGACAAGTTCGAGTGTTCCTCGTCGTTCTGGTAATGTCGTTGTTCTTTGTCGTTCTCGTAGTGTCGTTGTTCTTTGTCGTTCTCGTAATGTCGTTGTTTTTTGTCGTTCTCGTAATGTCGTTGTTCTTTCTGTTTGTCGTTCTCGTAATGTCGTTGTTCTTTGTCGTTCTCGTAGTGTCGATGTTCTTTGTCGTTCTCGTAATGTCGTTGTACTTTCTGTTTGTCGTTCTCGTAATGTCGTTGTTCTTTGTCGTTCTCGTATTTTCGATGTTCTTTGTCGTTCTCGTAATGTCGTTGTTCTTTCTGTTTGTCGTTCTCGTAATGTCGTTGTTCTTTGTCGTTCTCGTAATGTCGTTGTTCTTTGTCGTTCTCGTAATGTCCAAGTTCTTTGTCGTTCTCGTAGTGTCCTTCCAATCCTATCTCGACGTTTTCAGCGTTTTGTAAGACAGCCGACTCCTCGCCGTATTCTCTGACCGGCTTCAGGGCCGCATCTGGGTCCTCCCGCGCACGCAGTGCCTGTCTCTGCCAGTCGAGGATCCGTTTGGTGCACCAGAACCTCTGCCCTGCCCACCTGACGTACAGCGGGTCCGGCGGGCGGGAGGCGACATCTGCCGGCTGAGGGGGCGACTCCTCCGGTTCAACCACAGCAGGGGGAGACACTGTACAAGTAAAGAGGGAAAATGAGTCTAAACATATTTCATGGAGGTATAAGATCTCTGAATTGAGTGTGTGTGTGTGTGTGTGTGTGTGTGTGTGTGTGCGTGCGTGCGTGCGTCTGTGTTTGTCTATCTGGACGAATGCGGTCCCAACCGTGACTTCTAAGGACCACGGCCACGATTCACGACAATATGGTACGGTACATGACGTCGTGTTAGCATACGACAGAATCACGACGTTAATTATATTTCAGTCCATACCATGGTATGGATGAAATATATTGTGTTCCCTCATGTTTCTTCTCCTCCTTCTTCTTCTCCTCCTGCCACACAGTCAGAGGGATTCAACTCCGCCATCATTCAGCCAAATGACTTGAAATTTGGCATGGAGGTAGAGTGGGGCAATACCTCCAGGCGTTTTTCTTTTTTTTTGATACATGCCTTTGAAAAATTTTTATGAAGGTTTTTTGGGGCATTTTTTGCAAAAAATGGATTTTTGGATCCTGAGCCCTGGTTTTACAACCAAATGATCTGAAATTCGGTATAAGGGTACCTTGAACATGTGTCTACAGAATAGCAGTCACATATTTGGCATACACCACTTCCAAATGACTCATTTGGGGGACTTTAATGGCTATTTTCAGCAAAAAAAGGGCAGAAAGTGCTATACCCGTTCCATGTTCTATCTAAAGAATGGCCGGTTCCATCCATAGAACACGTGTTCCATTGGGGGTTACCTGAGGTCACATTGCACCTAAGTGGTGCGTAATGACCCACACATTCAATTTTATGTGCCTAAGACCTTCAAAATGTATCAAATCTCATCATTGTTAGTTTTTGCATACCTGTAATAAGATTAGTAAAGCTTTCGAGATTCAAAGTATTTGTTGTTGCATCTTTGTTCTCATATAGCTACCATTTAATTCATTTATTTGAGAACCTTTGCCAGTTTTGCACTGGGGTAAGTTTGGAATAGTCCACTTTTGCGTGGGAGGGAGATGGACTGAAATATGCTGTATTTGCTCCCAAGCAAATGTCGGCCTTTCTAGTTTTGTAGATATTTTTCTATTAATGCTTTAAGAATAAAAACATTGTCAGACGTTCGGCATTTTTTCCTGAAACCAAATTGCGTGTCAGCTAACAGGCCGTTATGTTCAACAAAGTTCTGTAATCTATTGTTCAGAAGGAGTGTAAAGAGTTTTGACAGACAACTTGACATCGCTATACCTCGGTAATTATCCACATTGGACTTGCTACCTGATTTGAAGATTGGTGTGAGTATGCTCGTATTCCAGTTGGATGGAAAAGTGCCGTTGGAAAGAATTGTGTTGAATAGCGTTACCAGTGGTTTACATAACTGTTCTGCCCCGTGTTTTAGCATAGATAACGTTTCAAACGAAAACAAGTGCCCACTGGCGACAATTCTCCGTGAAGTTATATATTTTGCAAATTGGGAACTGTATAGTGTATTTAAACAGTGTGTGATCACTTATTTTATTTTTTTTTATTTTATTCACATGGATTTTTGAGCATTGGATAGGAAGCACTTGTTGTGCTTATGTAAATCCGCTGTTCATAAAACATAATACAAATGTAAACATAAAGATGACATAAAGTATAGCATTAACATAAAATGAAAGTGGCTGGCGCACCAATACCTAGCATAACATTATTGAGATTGGTCAAATCTTCCAGAGTGGTGGATATAGTTAAACACAATATCAAAGATACGGCAGTTGGTAGGGTAAGGGAGGCTGGGGCTACCTGTAATCACTTAACAACTGGTAAAAACGTATAATAAAAATGGCTAAATCCCTGGTCAAATACGTAAGATCTAGCCTGACCAAAGATAAATCGCGTTCCTGGCGGCCACCCGCCACAAAGTTTGCCCCCCCCCCCTCGGAGTGGGGGCATATATGACTTGCCCCGGCCTGGAGCTTGTGTAAACTCACTCTCAAACACAAATACAGCTGTCCCTGGTGCTGACATGCCAGTCCCAGTGACACAAGCACAGCTGTCTCTGGTGCTTAAATGACAGTCCCACTAACACAGGGATAGCTGTCTCTGGTGCTGAAATGACAGTCCCACTAACACAGGGATAGCTGTCTCTGGTGCTGAAATGACAGTCCCACTAACACAGGGATAGCTGTCTCTGGTGCTGAAATGACAGTCCCACTAACACAGGGACAGCTGTCTCTGGTGCTGAAATGACAGTCCCACTAACACAGGGACAGCTGTCTCTGGTGCTGAAATGACAGTCCCACTAACACAGGGACAGCTGTCTGTGGTGCTGAAATGACAGTCCCACTAACACAGGGACAGCTGTCTCTGGTGCTGAAATGACAGTCCCACTAACACAGGGACAGCTGTCTCTGGTGCTGAAATGAAAGTCCTACTAACACAAACACATCTGTATCTGGTGCTGAATCGACAGTCCCACTAACACAGCTGTCCCTGGTGTTGAAATTATAGTCCCACTTTCATTTACTACATACTAGTAAGAAAAATCGTATTTATTTTACAAGATATCGTAGTATATGGTGCAAACCATAAGTCACAATCACAACAGATACAGGTTTACGTACTCGCAACGATACACAACAACCACCTTATGTCTGCTTATAGAACCTCGGCTACCAGACAACTACTAACCTACAGCCTGTTCCACAGGATTGTAAAAGTAGGGGTGTTACTGAAATATGCATTTACTTCAAAATAAAAACTGCTACATGTATGTTAAAAAGAAGAAAACGCGCATTATCGCGAACATAATGGCACACCACAAAATACAACGGACACAACCATATCCTTTAGCTGCGAACACGACCCACCCTAGCGTCTGCTTTTGAAAAATGACCCCCCCCCCTCTGCTATTCAAAACAACGGGGTTTTGCAGCCAGTCCAATATGCTTGCAGACGACGTATAAAATTACATGCCGATTATAAACAAAGGAAACCCTGTGTTTTAGCTGCGAACGCAACATTTATACCACCTTTTTTTTGTTCACGGAGTAATAAAATCAGACAGATAGAAAACATTAATGGTCGGTACAACAGCTTGACATCATATAATGTAGATCTTACCGTCTGCTCTTTGTGGGCGGACGTTAGCCACGTGCATCTGGTTGGGGATTAAGGCGCCTTGAGCGTTCCTCTGATCCCGGATTTGGGCGTACATCGGATTGGGGATCATGGCGTTGGTTGGATTAGGATTCAGGACGTTTTGAGCACAGGTTGGACTTGGATGAAGAGTCTTCAGGGGATGTCGTACTTGGCGCAGGTTTCTGTTGTCTCCAACAAAGACTGAAGTGTCAGTATCATCGCTGGATGAACCATTGCTGCAGTCTGCAACATTTTTTATTTTGTTAGTTGACTCCTTTGTTCGCGTTTCTTCTGAACTCGACGCCATGTATGCCACGTCATCCTGACACATGTATTTAACAGCGTAGGGTTGGATATCGACATCAGTAGGGCTGATCTCTCTAGTGTGTTCCACGAGAACTGCTGAACACTTGTGTTCTGTGTGTTTTCCATTGTCTTTATCGTCTTGAGTCTGGTATCTAACAGCATATGGTTGGATGCAAGGGTTGCCATTACGTTTTGTGCGTTTGTTATTGTCCTCGTCGTCTTTTTCTTGGTATTTGACAGCATATGGCTGGATGCTACGTTTTGTGTGTATGTTATTGTCATCATGTTCTTCGCTGTTGTATACGCTGTTGCTTCGAGTGTATGTCAGATTAGGGCAGAGTAGACGTTGGTTTTGGTGTATGTTACTGTCATACCCTGCCAAAGCATCAGTATCATCCTCGGATGAGTCTTGTCCTGCCGTGTTGACTGAAATGGCATTGCTGCTGGTTGTCGCCGCTTCTGATCTCTGAAAGGATTCATCTGTTTTAGCTTCTCCCAACCCCAAAGCAACATTCTCGTGTAGGTATGCAACAGCGTATGGTTGAACCTCACCATCAGTAGGGCTGGTCTGAAATGTTGATGATTTTTCAGCGTAATTATCCTCTTTCTCTTGATATCCGACGGCGTACGGTTGGATGCAGGTGTTGTTATCATGTTTTGTAGACTTGTCATCGTGATCATCATCACCGCCATCTTGATATTCAATAGCATAAGGCTGGATGCAGTCGTTGTTATCACTGTCAGGGAGCCTGAAGATACTCTTCGCAGTTGCCACGTTCTGAATTGCTGGCAGCATGTTGCCTCTTGACAAATCGTCTGTGCTGACGCCTGGTACAGAGTTGGCTGCGAAGTCGTCTGCCATGATTCTGAGAGTTGTTGACGATACGACAGCTACAGGTGGTTCTGGGGTAGACGCGATTACAGGGTAGTTTTTCTGCCCCTTACATCAAACAGGTTGTCGCTGATTCCCTTGCCTGTTTGATTTCCCGACGCTTATAATCCCTTTCTTACACTCGTATTCGTCTGATTTCAAGAGTGTAGTCCAAGCAGAGACGAATTTATGCCGGATAAGATTTCTTAGTCCTTTCAGCACATGTTTAATGCATTACCGTTCGCACATCAATACTTCTTGTGTACCCCCGTGCCTATCGTCCCGGTTTGATCCGAACAGTTCAGAGAATAACGCCGTAAATTCTTTAACTTTGTCGCCCACGTGAGATAAACTTAAGATTTCGTGGATTTTTTTTTTCAATCAAAATATTGCACTATTGTACTTTGTATTGACTTACATTCAAGTATAAACCTATTTTTTTTTGACATGAAGTTTCAACTTTGTGAGAAGATAAAAAAAAATAGGTTTATACTTGAATGCTTCTAAGACAAAGTTCATGCATCTAAACCCTACTACTGACAGTTTACTTTTTGCCACTGATGGCACTGAAATCGAATGTGTTGCGGATTTCAAATACTTAGGGGGGTACTCTGATAGTGTTCATGACATGGATGTGCGGATCGCACAGGCATGGAGTGCTCTTCACTCATTACATAAGATTTGGAAAGCGCCCATTAGAAAACAAACTAAGATCAAAGTGTTTAAGGCATGTATTGAAACAATTCTTTTGTATGGGTCAGAATCATGGGTCATGAATATGTCACATTCTAGAAAGCTAAACGGAACATACACGAAGATGTTGCGAGTGGTTTTCAATACACCATGGTGGAAACACACTACTAATGAACAGTTATACGGTTCGCTACCAAATGTAACTTCTGTAGTCAAATGTCGACGTCTAAGCTTGGCCGGTCATGTAATACGTAGTGAAGAACCAGCCAGTAGGCTTCTACTCTGGAACCCTGATACCTGTAAGAGAAGAGTTGGACGGCCAAACATAACAGTTAAGAAACTTATTGAAACTGAAACTGGCTTGGAGGGACATGAACTTTTCTCAGTGATGTATGACAGACAGTTGTGGCGAACTAACTTTGTATGCTCCACCTCTAGGGAGGATGAATGATGATGATGATGATGATTGACTTACAGAAAGTTTGAGTGCTGCGTGTGAAATTTGTCTAGTGTCATCTGCTTGGATGTTTATCTCCTTTATCTCGGAATCAAAGCCATTTGAACTATTTCGTATTGTACTGAGTGAGGCTTTAGCCTGTAGGAAATCAGTCTGCTGTCTACAACACACCAGCTTTGACCAAACTCCGAATGAATCGTAGATGAGAAAGATGAACGCTACAGAAATGTCGACTGAAGACCAAGTTGAAACGGTCTGTGCTTCTTTGTAGAGTTTTGTCGGTCTTAGGAGCGAAGCCAAAAACAAAACAAAAACAAGAAAGTAAGGGGACGCCTACACATCTTTTGCTGAAAATCCTGCGTGGGCTTGATAAGAATAACGCCCAGACTACTATCAGACATTGTATTATGTAAGGGTAAGTGACCTTAGCATGCATGGGGAATGTAGTTACTGTCTAACTAGTTCTGTACTGGAAGTTGAGCTTTTACTCAATGTAAGTTTTGGTCAGTGTAACCTGGTTAACCGGTGCAATAGCTCAATCGGGTAGAGTGTTCGCTTTGTAACCGGGAGGTCGTGAGTTCAAATCCCGGCCGGGTCATACCAAAGACATTAGAAATTGTACATGCTGCTTTCTCGGCTTAGTATCTATGAGAACTTGGAGAGTATGGGAAGGTCGAGCACCCCTAGCCCCCCAGGCTACTATGTGGCCCAAGGGCTTCAGAGATGGAGATGGGCACCACCCCTATGCTCTGCACAGAGTGGAACGGGACTTTTTTTTAACCAGTTAGAGAATGTTGACTAGTACACATTCTTGTATAGTTTAATTTGCACTTAAAACGTCGTTGACAATATTTATATACATTTTATGTAATGGTTTATTTCTATTTTAATCTCTTAATATGACGTTTTATACTATTAATGTGATGCCCAAATGTCAATTCAGCCCCAGGATGCCATTTTTGGGACAGTGTTGTTGTGTTTTAATGCAAAATAAACCATTGATAACAGTTCTTTCTTAAACGATGTCGAATACTAATGAACGTCGTAGCACCGATCAAGGCATGGTATGTTGTTTGCAGTCAACATTTATATAGTTGCTCGACTACTCCATCTGTACTAGTAACGACACAACAATAACAGTTACAGTTATCAATGTTGAATCAGCAAAATGTATGTGCATGCTGATAACGTTTCTGTATGGTTATATGTATTTTTTTTTGTATCAGGATCCCATTGTTGGAGGAAAAATGGACCAGAAAATTTCGATCAAGAAAGTTCAGGTGGAAAATTTAGATAATAAAAGAAGGGGGACCACATTTCAGTACAAAGACGGATTCTCCTATACCGGCATCACATGATTGTTGAAGAAAATCCAACTGATCTCACTGAAGTAAAAGTAATTAAATATGGCTCCTCGGGCGTTCCTATTGGAAAAGTACGTCAGCAGACTGCAGATTTGTCCATGGATGTAAGGCGAAAGAGGTTGCGCCGCATAGATTATGATCCCGAAAGATTTACGCACGATGAAACAGTTGAAAGGGCTCAATCAAGACTTGGTGAAAAGGATTATAGCTGGATAAGCAATAATTGCGAGCATTTTGCTACCTGGTGTAGAACAGGTGTGTCTGAGAGTTCACAGGTGAAGAAATTGTTCGAAAAGATATCCCCGTATACCAAACGCCCCGAACAAAGCACAGAGCAGAAGCAGCAGGATGCTCCATCGGACACACCAGTTTCTGCAGGTACCAGGTCTGCATCTCGGGTGTTGTTCAGGTCTGCATCTCAGAAACGAAAAAGGGAGTCAGACTCAGACAGCAGTGACTCGTCGCCAAAACGCCAAAAAAACTAGATGACCCAAGCGGCAAACACTTCGGCACCAAAATAATACTACTAATTCGGTTTTCTGATGATATGCCACAGAACAATAATGGGCTTTAGTCGATTCTTTTTGTTCTTAATAGAATTGGCTTAGCAAGCTCTCATGTTTTCTAATTTCTTTCGCTTCATACCTTTATATGATATGATATGATATGATAAAACAAAAGGTAACATTTTCTTCTTTCTAATTCACCTATGACGTACAGGCATTTGTGGCCTGATAGCTCGTAAAATATACCTGACGTACCTTTAAAATTCCAAATCCATTCCTTGTACTCAGAAATGGCCAATAGAGAAGATACGAGATCCTATAGCTAAGAATCAATACATATAAAATGTAGACGCTGAACCCCGTGTACTGTTCGACACTGATAGAAATCAGATCATGTACCTTTACTTATGAGTTTACATTTATAAACACGAATAATATAATCATGAATGTTTCTAGAAAATATAAGGTACGCAGAGATACGGCATGAAAGTGATGTGACCACTAATGGATGATGTTTATGATGGGTATAATATGATCACTTTGAAAGATGTACAATAATAATATTTGTAATACGGTATAACCGGCTAAAGCTAACGTTGATTTGTTTTTTTTTTTTGCCTTTTGTATAGGTTTTCCATGAAACACGTGTTTTTGTTCAAGTATACATTCATTTATTTGTGTAATTAATCCTGTGTTACCTGCCAGTGTCGTTTGACAGCGTACAAATTTCTGAAATATCGTTTACCAGATGTTTTTTATCTCTTTTGAAGGGATAATGACCAACAAAATACACTAAGTTGATAATCACGATTCCATCTCATGTGAAAGATATGAGCGCTAATCTTGTGACATGCCTGGCATGCCGGGCCAATTACCCAACCTAGGGGCAATCACTGCCTGTTGTTGTTGTTGTTGTCCTGAGCAAACTGGTGGCACTGGGAACTGAACAAGAACTGTATTTGCGCACAAAATATACGTCAGAAATGTGAAATAATGACACAAATGTGTTGAAAAGTGATAGTAACTGTTGATTACACCGAAATTTAGTATAATTAGAATATTTCAAATTTTTGCGTGAAAAATTACATAATGCAACTATGGCCACGATCGCGAGACGCAGTAGAAAAACAGGCGCTTAGCTTCGGTATGAATCAACCACTCAAACCACACGTATGAAAAAAAAAGTATTTAGTAACTAAATCATTGCAGGCAAAGATAAAAAGGCTGAAACTTACAATCAGCCCCATGCATATTAAAACAATACTACGACATTTCAAAGCTGCACCCACGCCATTTTTTTTTCAGATTTGTCTGGCAAGGGTTCCTAAACATTAAACTATTAGTGCCGCTATGAAGTTGTTTTTTTCTCTTTTATGTAGTTCTGGTAAGACCTTATATGGAATTGTTGTTCTCATTGTAACACCAAATCAAAGCTACTGATTAGTCTTTAGCTTTTTTGCACAGCCATTTTGGAATATTTTCTTGAATGCAGTTGGATAGGACTAGAAGGTTTGCTGTCAACGTTTTAACAAAAAGGTATTTTGACTTGTTTTCATCAACGTTTCCTGTAGGCATTGAATGCAATTTCAGGAAGGCAAAAAATAGGGACTGGAAAAACTGATATTGACAGTTACTGTCATTTCTTGGAACACCTTCATTATTTCATACTTTAAGCATTAGAGGTATATGTGAGGCCTTTGTATCGTCAATAAATTACTAGAACCAGCCTAGAATAAAAAAAAACGTTTTCAGTTTTAAGTATTAGAATGTTTCCTGGGGCCATATCATTTCTCTGTTTATTCTGATGTTGCAGAGCAATTTCTTTCATACATGAAAAAAAACACGACTCATTTACGTATATACCATTCAGTACGTGTGTCAATAACAAATGCTCATATTCTAGTCCTGTTGCCGGTGTTTCCTGATAGATGTCACTATGCTTCAATTTATTAAAAGCTAAAAATACTTTGTTTCAATGGTTTGTTAGTTAGTTAGTTAGTTTGTTAGTTAGTTTGTTTGTTTGTTTGTTTGTTTGTTTGTTTGTTGGTTGGTTTGTTGGTTGGTTGGTTGGTTGGTTGGTTGGTTTTGTTGGTTGGCTTTGTTGGTTGGCTTTGTTGGTTGGTTGGCTGGTTGGTTGGTTGGTTGGTTGGTTGGTTGGTTGGTTGGTTGGTTGGTTGGTTGGTTGGTTAGTCTGACATGTTGACGATAAAACAATCCCTCACTGGGTTTTGGGAGTTGGGTCTATAAAGTAAAAAAAAATGAAATAAGCTAAACAATCTGAATTGTAGCTAATTTATTTAAAACATTTAAGACTTTCATTATTTTCACAGTGCAAAAGCATCGACTTTAAAACGACTACGAACGTCAAATATATAAAGTATGAGTTATTTAAATGCGTAAATCAGTAGAATATTTGTAATCAAAAATAATATACGTAATTAATATTAATGGTTGCCCGTTACAGCATGTAGAAACCATGTCAACAGCTTATTGCAAGGTGTATGAAATTATATTTTGTTAGAAGACAGGATGGCGGCAAGCAACACAAAGCTATCTCTGGAGGCCACCATATATGGGGAGAGTGAGGACGCCAAGACAATTTGCACTCAAAAGAAAGACGTGACCATTACATCTAAAAAAGAAATTGAGAAAGATGATAAAGCTCAACGCAAAGATGCTAAGTGCCCAAAACATACGTATGACCACACATTCGGCATCGACAAAGAAACACTTGCTAGTCCCAGTGATAGTGTAACTTGTACCCACACCAACCCGCAGCCTGCCGCGGATGAACTACGGTATCTTCACGTGGGAGATCACGTAGTGGTGTATTCGGGACAAGAATCAGAAGACGCCTACAGATACAAAACGTCTGAGAAAGTAAGCATAGGGTGCGGCAAAGATTTTCCCTCCTACGACTACGATAATACAGATGATGTTCACGAGTACAAAACGCCTGAGAACATAATCATGAGGCAAGGCGATGGGTCTCCTTCCTATTACTACGAGAAACCACAGGGTGCTCACGGGTACAAAATGCCTGAGACCATGAACATGGGACACGAAGATTCTCCCTCCTATGTCTACGAGGAAGCAGTAGATGCTCACGTGTACAAAGAACATGAGAACATGAGCACAGATCTAGAGCACGGCAAATATGCTCACTCCTATGACCACGAGAAACCAGAAGATGCTCACGAATACGAGATGCCTGAGAACGTGTGCATGGGTCAAAGCGAAGATTCTCCCTCCCACGACAACCAGAAACCAGAGGATTCTCACGAGCATAAAATTCCTGAGAACATGAGCAATTTGTACGGCGAAGATTCTCACTCCTATAACTACAAGAAACCAGAGGATGTTCACGGGTACAAAGACCATGAGAACATTAGCATATGGCACGGCGAAGTTTCTTCCTCCATTGACCACGAGGAAGCAGAAAATTGTCACGAGTACAAAATGCCTGAGAATGTTAACATTGAAAACGGGGAAGATTCTCCCTCATATGCTTACAAGAAGCCAGAAGATGCTTACGGGTATAAAATGCCTGGGAACGCTGACACAGGGCACGATGAAGATTCTCCCTCCAATGAGAAACCAGAGGATGCCCAAGACCCTGAAGGTGTCAACTTTGGAGTCAAGGCTAGAGGTAAGTTTATGTTCATATATTAAATGCAACATACATACACTTTTAGCCATGCTCACCACAACAGTAATTCTTGTAGTATTTTCAATATCACCAGAGTGTTAGTCTGCTGTTTTACATACATATAGTTGTAACCCACAACGTTTCCAGATTCGTCATTGCACACATAGCCTGCCTAAATCGCTTTACAGCTGCCGGCCGCATCCAGCCGCCCCCCGAAAATCTGTGGGGAGAGTCCACTAAAGGCGCTGACGGAAGTTTTTATTACACAGACTATATTGCGCACATTACTAAAGGATCACTGCGTTGTGCCCATCGTAGAGGTTTTGTAATATATTTTCATTTAGTATTTACTTGAATAATTATGTAACGAAATGTAATGCCTAACGACGCGAAACATTGAATTATGCAGTATTTATAACAATAATATTAATAATAATAATAATAATAATAATAATAATAATTTTTTTTATCTTTTGTTCTTGTTTTTATTGTTTTATTGCCTTGAAAAATGTCTTAGGAATGCCTTGTGCGTTGTGACACGCTTCTTTTTCTCTTTCCTATTTCTTTATCTGTACGTAGACCAATCCAATTTTTATCTTTTATATTTCATCTCAGCCCATCTGATGAAGATGTGGAACGAGGTAAAGTCTAAAAGAGTTTGCAAGCTTGCACTGGGCTGTGGTCTCCTGGTGATAACGTTGGCAATACTCTCATCTTGTGTCATACCTGCCAGAAAGGTAGGTTATTGATATTACTAGTTAGTTGTCTTTATCCAAAGAGACCATATGAAAATATAACATGGGATTATGTGGCGTAATGGTTGGGTGATTGGACCAGAACCCATAGGTCCAGGGTTCAAAGTCATCACCTTGCCCCTATGTTGTGCCTTGGGAAATACTGGAACTAAATTATATGTATAATGTATTGTTTCCTTTTGAAATTAGAATGAAGATTTTTTGGAACAAAAATTATATGTATACTGAACAGGGCTTGCCTCATTTCACTTAGGTAAAAAGTGTGCCTAGATTTGGCTAGGAACGTCCTTCGGGTATACGTAGGACGTTAAATGGAGGCGTTAAACACACCACACATTTGTTACTGTTTAATCACAGACATCAATGAGTGCTATAGAAACCCATGCCAACATGGACGCTGTGAGAACAACGGTGGTGGGTATAAATGTATCTGCTTTGACGGATGGACTGGAACGAACTGTCATCAATGTGAGTTTTTCTGTTACAGTAATGTTTTCCATTGAAAAACATGGAGGTCCCGTGTTTAGGCAGAGCCACAACCCACCACATCTTTCGGAAAAGAGTAGTAAGACCATGCGAAACTTTGAAGCTGGTGATTCAATACAACTCACCCGGGTGGACGCCTGGCGAACCCCCTTTTCGTATAACCAGTATTATATATGTAAATATTGTACAGGAAACGAAGTGGAGGATGAAATGCACTTTATTTGTCACTGTCCTCATTATAGCACCTAAAGAGACCAGTTATTTGAAATGGTCGCCAAAATGTTCCCCAGCTTTATTCACCTTCCCAGCCTACAAAAAACTGCACTTCTATTAACACCTCCCAATTCATATATCTCACAAAATGTCGGCCATTTCATACTCCACTGCACACGGAAAAGAAATCAAACCCAACAATAACCACAAGTGTATATATCAAGTAGCATTAGCATCACTTATTATCATTCTACTGTTTACTGGTGTTATCATGTTCTTGCAATTAGCCCTCGGACATGAATTTGCAATAAACTTTCATTAACCATACAGTGAGTTATATCTTCACCCGTTTTTAACTGGGATATAACTAAATAATAAAAGACCGAAGAAACAAGGGTGTGAACAGTTTTCTCCTTTCTTTTTTCAACTTTTTCAACGGTATGGGATCTTAGACATAGGAACATTGTGGGCTATAACTAACATATTACACGAACACTGATACGTCTGTATTGCCTTTTAGTTCATGTTATCTGCCTGTTTGTACAGGTGGCAAATGATTCAAAGAATGGTGACAACATGGCGGGGATCATAATGAAGCCAGGCACTCCGTCTTGGGCCTCGATGTTCATGGAAAACAGCTCGGCCCGCAACAATTTGACTCCATCTGCTTTCCCGGTTCCAAACACTAGTATTGACTCGGAGACCTTGCCGACAACTGTGACGTCACTGCCAACTACTGGTAAGTAATGAGCATGTACTTCCTGCTATTACTGTTTTCTTTGTTTCAAATTTGGTTCATCTAGAAAAAATGGTAATTTTTCTTACAATTTTGTAATACATGTATTGGGGAGAGCCTAAGATAAACCACCAGGTTTCCGGCTCTCCCATGTATGTCTTTCTACCGACGTATACGCGTGATTTAAAAATAATGCTAACAAAATACAAGCAAGAAAAGGGCAATATTTCTCAAAACCTGTAAAGCCATTGACAAACTCGCCCCAACCATGGCTTGGAGTAGGTTGGGAACACGATTGTCTTTGGTTGACTGGTGTTCGAAAATATTGGCTACAGTTCGCCTGCACCGGCCAAATGTTTTAAAATGTTGAAAACATTCGGGAGTAGACTGGGGACAGGAATATGTCTGGGACTGGTTGGCTGGTGGTTGCGAGTAGGTCAGCAGTTTTCTTGGCATACTCGGGGTCGACGTCAAATTTGACTCAAATTTTATTCGATTCTAATAGTAAGGTAGGCATAGGGTAAATCTGGAAATACTGCTCCCAACGCACCCAAACCATAGCTGGTTGGTGGTTAGGGAAAGCTATTTATGTTTACCGAAGGAAAACATATTGTTTTTGCTACGTTTCCTCTTCTTCTCCAAACACTGACGTCTGACCTGGTCAATGACTTGAACCAGACCGTCTTTCACCATGGTAACTGGTGTTACAATTGCAGTTGACAATTCCAATTGCAAATATTGTTGCAGTTTTATAGCAAGAGGGATTTAGACTGCTATCTGATCATACATATGAAAGTATTTGAGTGAGAATTAACAGACCAGACCATATCCGAAGGTAAACATTATGCATTTGCTTTGCAAATGTTACCTTTCTAGTTTCAAATGTGTGTCAGTACTCAGTCTAATCCAAAATCATATTATACCGGTATGTAAAGTTTTAGATCATTTACCGGTATGTAAACTTTTAGATCATTTAATATTCTCTATTAAATGCTATATTAATATTCTCTATTAAATACTGACCTAAATGAGTGTAAAAAAACAAAACAACAAGAACATTATGAAGCCGGGCACGGAAAACAGTTCATCCCTCAAACATTTCACTCTAGGTTCTTCTACGTTGGAGAGCACCAGTCTTGATCCGGGGACCTTGCCGACAACTGTGACGTCACTGCCAACCACTGGTAAGTAATGAGCAGGTCGGCAGGACGTACTGCGCCTGTGCGAAAATTAATTTTTTTTGTATTTTTTATATATATATATTTAAAATCTTAAGAAAAATGACTATAATAGCTAGCTATTCAGTACTCAACGTCAGTACTCAGACATATCCAAAATCGTACTAGTTGCGTCTTGAGGAATGTAACGATTTCGATCATTTCCACCCTCAAACAGACCTGGATGAATGTATCAAAAACCCATGTCAACATGGAATCTGTGTGAACCAAGATGGTGGATACAAGTGTACCTGCTCACCTGGATGGACTGGACGGAACTGTCAGGAAGGTGAATTATTATACGTTGAACGTATTTGGTAGGTTCTTTCTGTCCTTTTTGCCAACTTTGGTTTCATGTTTGCTGATTGACTTAAGTTGAAAGTTGATCGGGAACTTAAATTTGACTCACAACTCCGATGTATCGTTGCTGGAAAAAGTTAGTAATCTTTTTGATTTCCACGCAGACATCAATGAGTGTGACACACACTCATGTCAACATGGACAATGTGTGAACCAAGATGGCGGATACACATGTACCTGCTCACACGGGTGGACGGGACAAAACTGTCAGGAAGGTGAGATATTATCCGTGACGTATTTGATAGGGTCTTTATTTCCTTTTTGCCAACTTTGGTTTCATGTTTGGTGATAGACTTCAAAGCTGCTTAGAAACATAGACTCCGATGTATCGTTGCTGGAAAAAAACAGTAATCTTTCTGATTTCCACGCAGACATCAATGAGTGTGACAAACACCCATGTCATCATGGACAATGTGTGAACCAAGATGGCGGATACACGTGTACCTGCTCACATGGATGGACTGGACAGAACTGTCAAAAAGGTGACCTTTTTCTTTATTTAAGTTGCTAATTTTGGTAAGAATCACTATTAAATCTCAACATGTTTTCCTTCTTTCCTTTTTTTTTACCTATTTCACGAGTTCTAGCCTGAACACATTTGGTACTTTTTAATCACAGACATCAATGAGTGCTATAGAAAACCATGCCAGAATGGACGCTGTGAGAACAGCGGTGGTGGATATAATTGTATCTGCTTTGGTGGATGGACTGGAACAAACTGTCAGCAATGTGAGTTTTTCTGTTACAGTAATGACCATAAATACTAAAACAAGAGTATCACGCACCCATGCTTTTTAATTGTTAATGTTTTTCATTGATTTCCATGAACTGTATCAGTTGATCATATTCTCCACCCAATGACAGTCTCTAACAAATTCCTCTGCAGTACCATAACAGCCGCTAGGGATCCCAGAATTTAATCATTTCGAGCTCTCATCAAGACCTATACACATACCATGTTTCACCTATCACATATTCTTGAGTTATCGTGCTTTACCAACACACATGCATGCACACATACATACACACATAAACATATACATATACAAATGTTACTAAAACCACAACCTTCTGGCGTAATAGGTGTGAAAAAGGTAGTTTTAGATTTTACCCAGGTTTTTTAAAGAACAAGAGTTTGTTCTGAAAGTCTGTCCGTACCCTCCCACCCCCTAACGTTATGTTACAACACTGGTGTTTTTTTTCTCAGCCCCACCATGCCAGAGTGGGTGGAGCGAATATAACAACTATTGCTACAAGCTGTTTACAGATAAAGTCGACTGGTCTACTGCAAACCGGAAGTGCAGACAGCATGGTGCAAACCTTGCTTCTGTTACAAGCGCTGACGAGAATTACTTTGTTACACGTCTTATCTCGAATGGTAGGTGGTGTTTTATTGTCATTTTGTTAATCAATTTTGGATTTAGAAAGAAATAATGGATAAGTGGGATGCAAACAAAAAATGTACGTTTTTTAAACTGTCGTTTTAATCTCTCACTATATTTGTTTTATTTCAAAAAGTCTGTGAAGCAATGAAATACCATGTTCAGTTTATATATATTTTCATGAAGTTTTCGGTTTGAGATAATATCAAGTTACTTCTGATGAATTTTGTTCATTGTGCCTTATGGTCTTACCGTACTTTTTCTACCTTGCTGCATATAAAAGTTGATATGATGGAATATTCCTAAAATTAAAAACTGTTATCTAAAAGGCCCATTATTCAACATTTTGGCCCGATTTTGAAATACATTTTTAAAAAAATAAACCTACATGCCGGGAGGGGGGAAGAATTTAGGTCGGACAATCGACTTTTGATTTAGATTTGAACTGCTACACATAGTCGCTAAATAGTGTAGCATTAAAAAATAAAAAGAATCGATAGTCACAGAATGCACATTCTATACTTGTTCTAGAAAGAACATATTATAATTGCTCATTGGCACGAGTCAACCAAAATGACCTATTTCACATGACATTAGTAACTGTAAGGCAAACATCTCGCAATAAATTCACAGATCGAAGCCAACCAAATGTCAAATAAAACCACGTTTTTTTCTTTATTCCAGCCCCTTTAGGGTTTATTCGACATCTCGTCTATTTTGGACTGAAGCTTACGGATGGACGATGGGAGTGGACGGATGGTTCACCACTTTCCTACACAAACTGGGCTCCGGGTGAACCTGGTAGAAACCTCTGGGGCAAGACTGGGGATTGTGGTAATATGTACTCCAAGGTATTAACATTTTAAATTCATTTTTCATGCAGCGTCAATAGAATAATCTTATGTGATGTTTTTAAGCAAGCAAAAAAGTCTACTATATAATGACCAAAGATACTGATGTGAAATACTTTGTCAATGAAAAATGAAAGTTATTTGTGTGGTATTTGATGCCAGTTGTAACATTTAACAGGACGACAGCAATATGTGGATCCGCGCAAAGGGGAAGAAAGGGCAGTGGAACGACCACAAATGCAGCTGGGAGCTTCCCTACGTTTGCAAGACTCCGAAATGATACAAAAGTCAATTTATATTACCTGATCAAGAAAAACAACTTTGATCAATGACAGCGTTGAACCAAAAGTGTTTGTGTTGCAGCAAAGAATATCTTTTTTTATATACAGCTCAATGTAATCTTTATATTTAATATCACTGTATTTTTCATTCTCTGGATTAGTGAATGATGTTTTCTGTTTGTTTGTTTGTTTTTTTTGTTTATGTTATGTAAAATACAAAAAAAAAAGAATTATAATCCTCAACATTCACGAAACCTGTGTTGACCATTAACATCTTGGTCACATGACTCCTTTTCAGTAGCTGAAGAAAGATGGCGGATGCTTTTTGAGAGTTTATTTGCTTGAATTTTAAGTCGTGTGTTTTGGTTTGAAGCCTTTTCAAGAAAGATGTATAAGGCACCTTTGTACAGGTGTACATGCTTTTAAGTGTACGTGCTTCAAAGCTCCTTTGTATTTGGACACGTGATCTTACTTCGACGGCTTTGTAACCGATATGCATTTACAAGGACATTGGTACGTAGCACTGTCGACAAAAGAAGTTACTGAAATCAGAATATTTGTAAAGACGCATTTTTTGTAATTTGAATGTATTGCGTAGTAAAAGAAACAGTGAACGCTGTCGTTGTCTAAGAATGGTCGTATTAAAAGAGAACTAATTATTGTGCATGAGAGGAAAACATACTCTATCTTCAATTTTAGGTCTTAGTGATTTTTTAAAATTTTGTTAGCAGTAGGTGTCAGGGAACAACAACAAAAACTTGTCAAGTAATTTGTATTACGGTATCCCAAGACAACATTGTAGTAGACATGTTCAAGAAATGGTATATATAATAACAATGTTTGATTAAGAAAAAGTAATAGATTTAATTCTTCCTGATTTTGAGGGGACATACATCACGTAAGGCTGACGTGATCATGATTTGACATAATTTTCAAGATGAAAATATTATAATTTTTACTATATCATGTACGTTTTGATTGCAGATTCTTGAGTGTCTGCGAAAGTAGTTTTGAAATTTGCAATAGGTGCAAAAAGGGCTGTATGTAAAACTAGTAATTCAAAATTTTAAGAATATAACACTAAAGTAATATGCCTTACGCCTTGCAATAGCTGGAGAAGAAGTGGAGTAATGCTTTCTTGAAAGTCCTCCCCTCTCGCGGATTGACATTGTATATCATCAAATATATTCAGACATTATTTTGAGTAATATTTTATTCCGACATTCATTTCGAACTTTTACTTTTATTGAATATATAGAATTATTTTAATAACAATTTAGTAAATCATATAATAATTGGACCTTTTCAGCAAAGGGGTTCTCGAAAACCTCATACAGTACTTTATAGTAAAAGTGTTTTTCAGTAACAGATACACTCAAGACCGCCATGTGATGTTTCGTATCTGCTTGGAGATTACCTTTCGATGCTATACAGTATGAAGATCAGCAACCCATACCACTATGAACTTGCTTGGAGATTTGCAACCGAATATCCGTTTAAATATCATTATAGCTTTGATCACGTTATCAGCAAGAAAAAAGTACTCCCACCTGATGTGTAATACTTGAAGTAGGTCCGCTGTGCCAAGTATGGTCATGCATTCCATTTGTGCCAAATGTAGTAGTGCATACCATATATGATAAAATCCCAAATAAAGCCACTTTAAATGCCTGTATAAAAGAATAAACGCCTGAGGGTATTTTTTACCCTACCTTCATACCAAATTTTACATCAACGAAGTATAAACATGTACACGAATGATACACGCAACTGTAATCCCAGAAGCTTCACACTCGACTCCATCTGGCTAAGTAATAACGATGAAATACCTGGTCAGTCACTCAGAATTTCATCTGAGATACCTGTATAATGAGACCGTGCACAACATGTCACTGGTCAGTCAAGGTACGTGGTCATCCACAGAAATTAGGCCATATGTCCTATTAAAAAGGTCATCGTCCACTAGGACAAAACATCGTCCATTCGTCCAAAAAGGTCATTGTTCGTTCGGACAAAACCTGTAATTGTTTGAACCGATGTAACCGGATGATGGGGGTGGTTTTAGGTTACTGACCAGGGAAGTACAACCTCTCAAGGGGTGCATACATACATGTAGCCAGAACTGTTTTGTTTTACAGATGGAAAATATTTTCTTGTTTCTTTTTGTATGCATCCGTACTTTTCTGATCTTATTATAGAACGGGTAGAGTAGAATATTGCAACAAGTTTGCCCCCGTAAGTTTTCTCACACGTCTAAAAAAGGCGCCCCTTCCATGACGCCATCTTTGGTACGGCCCAAACGACAATTAGCATGTTATATATCGTAACCAGCCTGACCAGGTAGGTTTTATCTGTAACACGACGTGAACACAGCTGTCATCGTACAATGGAAACTGTCTCGCGTCTTCTCGTCTTAGCGGCAACTACTATCGTTTTGTACGGACAACTTGTGGGTGCGAGTGCCGACTTCACCCACCATGAGTTCCTGGACGAAGACGGGAAGTTTCTACTCTTCTGGAAGTTTGACGATGAGAAGATTGAGTTGGAGGCCCGGGTGCAGACGACAGGGTGGGTCGGCCTGGGTCTCTCCCCGAACGGAGGCATGCCGGGGTCTGACATCGTCATCGGCTGGGTCAAAGACGGGACTGCGCACCTCACCGTGAGTCCTAATTCTTTTTTTTTAGAAAAAAAATTAGTAGCTACATCTGTTGTTTTTGGCCCGTTTTTCTATGTGAAACAGGATAGGTGCCTCGGTCTTGTTTAACGCACTGATCGAACGATCTTCCATTGGTCTCGTCTAGTAAAATAAACGATTACGACATGGCACAGGAGTTGTTTGCCACTAGTATTAGAAGTGCGGTGTGCCATTCTGACCTTGCATTCCTTCGGCTCTAAATTCTAAAGGTGTATTTACCGTGGGAAGGAAGCGGTAACTTGAACGCAGTGGCGGTGCGGTAGGCTCTTCTGAAGACCACTAAGAAAAATAGGCTGTCAACAATGGCATTGTCGGTCTCAATATCAGGCGCGGCCAGGCACGAGCTGTAGCTGTGTACAAAATCATTGACCGATGCTTTTGACGTACTAGTTGTCTCTACCAGACTAACTACGCTGGCTATATATAGCAGAATATATGCCAGGGGAGTTTGGCCGCCTCGGGGTTTGACTGGCCGCGCAGTTAGGAGGGAAAAAAATCAACCTTCCGTGGACTGACTCGCCTTACTCAGGACTATTTCCAGAATTCTACGATCAGTATTCCCGTAGAAAGACCTGGTGGAGGCTACTTTTGACGTTTAATGGGTGATTCTTCCCATTTTTTGTTATTGTCATGTCAGTTGTTTGGTACATGAGGGAAAAGACGCGTAGAATAATTATGACGTAGACAGGTATTTTCTAAGTAGGTCATCCTGGTTATTTACATGAGAATTTAATTCGTGACACAAAAAGCAAACCTTCCAGCGGGGATAAAACTCATTGAATTGCAGAGTTACAAAAATAACAGACAAGTCAGGCAATATATACATATACGAGTACATCCCTCATATACATTATAATACATTATTGTGTACAAAGCAAAAAATTGTTGGCCAGTGTCATTTTGGGGTAGAAAAAATTATTACTAGTCCGCGTTTTTGCCGAATCTTACTGTCCATAACTGCTTAGGAAGGCCTGATGGAGGCTATCCTCGACTAGTACGAGCTGATAGCTGTAGGGGGACTCTATCTTCACTTGTATCTCGTGTTTAGCCTTGTGGCATTTTGTAATGTCATTTTGTAATGTCATGGCCCCGAGTGGTACAGGGCGGTACGGGATGTTCCGCACGAATGACTGGTCTAAATGACCTGTAGAACGTACCGCACACCTGTAGGTGACACGCAGCCTCCTTTGCAGACGTTCCAAGATAGGTCGTTTTTTTACGTTGACCGCACGCAATAGAAGCTCCGGCTCGTACCTATATCCCTAGTAAGGTTGGCGGCCAGATCTTCTAATATAGCTAGCGTAGTAGTAGAGGTAGAAGTTTTTCCAGACTGTTGTTACCTGTCTCCTGTTACTGTATTGCAATGAGTATTATACTTGATTGTAAAAGCAATTAGCCTTCGGGCATGATTTTGCAAATAAAGTTTCTATATGGATCATCTATTACGTGCGATCTACGTTTGATCATAAAAAAAGATAATAAAATAATAAATAAATAAATAAACTAAAAATCCTGGAACGTCTACAGAGGAGGCTAGGTACAGGAGTTCCGCACGGATGCCTGGTCACAATGAACTAAAGAACGCTCCACACACAGGCGTCACTCATCTTTTCCGCTTGGACAGTCTCCACAAAACTGTCTTACAGGCTAAATACGGGTCTGGACACTAGTTGTCTTACTAGTCTAGAGTAATGAACTGTGCCTAAGGTTTGCTCGTTCTCTCACAAGCAGTGAGAAATACCGTGTTTGGCTGCCATGACAAAGGGGATGTTCACAATATAGTCCATGCATTTAGCATATGTTGTGGTTACTCACGTGTGACAATGTACACAAGTAACGTTATCGTGTACTATTCTGCTATTGTACCCCGCACGTAACCCTACGAAAGACCAAAGCGACAAAAGTTGTGCTCAACGAAGGGACTGAATTCAACAGAGAAGGGACTAAAGTCTAAATTCAACAGAGAATGAGTTAAATTCAACAGCGAAGGCGTTGGTCGTTCGTATAACCCAGTGGGTATTTGTGCATGATAAAGGTCTTCATTTAATAAATAGTGAAAATCGGCCTAAAAAGGGATAAAATTGGCCAGTTGAGTTAGTAGGATCTGTTTAGTCCTACTATAGCTGGCTATTCAGCAGAAATTAGTCTGGTGGAGTTTTAATAGTTTGTGGACGTTCATTGAACCGAATCAGCTGCAGGTTGTCTGTGTCTTTGCCCCTGCATTAGCATGCAGAAAACCGCCATGGTACTCGCTATGTTAGCCTGGTTACCACACTCAACGAGTCGGGTTCGGGGTGTTCCGGCCGGCCAGAGGTTGTTTGGCACCCGATAGGAGTTTATCCGGGGTTTTCTAATTTCTGCCACCCGGCTAAACTCCTGCCATGGAAAACCTACCGGGGAAAACAGCTCAGACCGTGCTTTTAAACAAGACCATGCTCAGACACGGTTCAGGATAGTCCACGTGTATCCAGAACCGTGCTATTATCCAAGACCATGCTCAGACACGGTTCAGGATAGTCTATGTGTATTTATATATAGAATTTCGCAATGAACTGGACATCTGCGACATGCATATGTCAGGTCAACGTCCGAGTGGGCAAATGTTGCAAGTGATATTTTCACTGCAAAACGATCGACAAACAGAATGACAGCAAAAAATACATATAGTAGTTAGTAGTACCGTTTTGTAAGCGATTCAAAAGTATGGCTCCATGCGAATATGTGACCTCTATAGTAGAGCTATTGGTAGCTCAAAAATGCACACGTGTCTGTAAACCTAAAGTTTCTTTTTTCGTGGCCAGCTTTTCTTAACCAAGTGGATATGTATATGTACAATAAATGGCCCCATTCATTCATCATTCATTCATTCATTCCTCCGCAGGACCGGTATGCCGATTCAAAGTCCCAGCCCCCTGTGGACGAGAGTCAGGACTGGGAGCTGGTGTCTGGGAACGAGAACGGGACTCACACCGTCCTGAGGTTCAACCGGAAGCTGACGACTTGTGACGTCAGAGACCGCGTCATCAACGTGAGTATAGAAAGCGTTACTGTCGCTATTTAATAATTAATGCTTGATGATGATGAATATCTAAAAGTAAATGCCACTGCAAGGAGATTGATACTGAAGTTGAGATTGCCCTATCATTAGGAGAAACGCTTCTGATACTCTGGGTGACATCCTTTTTAGAAAAGAAAACAGATCGTACTATTAAGCTAAAATGACTGGCATCCAGACACGGTTCTGGATTTGTCGGGAGCAAATCTACGTTCTTGCATATTATCCAGAACCGTGCCTGATCCTAACTCTTAATTTTATTTTATTTTATTTATTCAGAATTGTAACATGACAATACAAAGTGTGCACTAGGCAGCAAGCATACTGATAGCGTGCACACCTAACACATACATGTACCTGGGCATATGACATAGAAAACAACAATAAATAGTTAGAACAAGATATATACACAACTAACATTATCTAATAAATTATACCTGAAATTAAAATCAATTTTATTAACTCTTAAACCCATTCAGGAGCAATACTAGATAGACACGGCTCTAGATACGATAGCAAGAGACAACCAGGCACATCCAGGCACTGAACTAGATAGACACAGTTCTGAATACGACAGTAACCCATAATAAGAAAAGTTTGAATCTTTACTTCTGGATAAAATAAGAAAATAATGTCAGACGTTTCAGACGCCGTCCGGCATCTTTCATCAGTGAAATATTCAAAATTGAGATAGAACTCGGAACGGCACCGTTAATTCTAAAAGTATTTATGTTCTAAATAAACAAATAATAAGTTAGCAACAAGCGTTCTATAGATTCTATATACAATACACATGGTAAAGTATTAACTAATGTAATGATAAAGATAAGTGAGTCCCTAGATATGCTGTAAAGTAGAATCCCATGTACTTGAAAGTTCAACTCTAAGTCCTCCCTTCCTGTTGAGTGATGGTTTATAAAGTCTTTCATAAATCGCCTCCTTGACTCCACGCTCAAACCAGCGCGCCTCCCGGTCCAAGATGTCCGTTGATTCAAGATGAAAAGAATGTCCTTTATGTTTGTCCAGATGGTGCCATATGGCCGAAGAAAATCCACTGTTACTGGCCCTGCAGTGTTGCTTATATCTTTCCTTGAGCGGCTGACTGGTCTCCCCGATGTACGTTTCTTGGCATTGATGATCTTCACATTTTAGTCTGTAAATGACATCCGATTTCACACAGTTTTTAAGTTTGTCCTTTGGATGAAACAACATCTGTCTGAGAGTGCGACATGGTTTGAAGTTGGTGGCGATGTTGTAGTTGTGTAAGATACGTCTTATCTTCTCCGAAACTCCTTGGATGTATGGGATGGAAATGTTGACTGTTTTAGTCCTGTCTAACTGTGAGTTTCTTGACGTCTTCTTAGATGAGTCGGAAGGCTTAAGTGCTTTGTTAAAAGTCCATTGTTGATATCCACACTTGGATAGAGCTTTCTTGAGGTGAGTATGTTCCTTGGCTCTGGCTTCAGCCGAAGTAATCAAGGTGTCTGCTCGATGAAACAAGGTTCTTATCACACCAAGTTTCTGTTCCAAGGGATGGTGAGAATCAAAGATGAGATATTGATCGGTGTGAGTAGGTTTACGATAAACCTCCACCTCAATGTGACCGTCTGTCTCTACATGTAGTTTGGCATCCAAGAAAGGTAGTGTGTTATCTTGACTGGTCTCCTGAGTAAAGCTGATATGTTTGTCAACCTTGTTAATGTGTTCGAAAAAACTGTCCGCCAATCCCTTCTTGAGCCGACACCATGTGTCATCCACGTATCTAAACCAGTTGGCAGGAGGGGTACCAGGAAAGCTATTGATAGCTTTAAGTTCGAACTTCTCCATGTAGAGATTGGCCACGATAGGAGATACGGGAGAACCCATAGCGCAACCTTGTACTTGCTTGTAAAACTTGCCATCATAAGTAAAATATGTACATTCAAGGCAAAGTTCCAAGAGTTGACAGATCTGGTTGACTGACAATTTAGATCTCTCTTTCAGGGTGTCATCAGCTTCAAGGAATTCTCTTACCACTTCAACAGCTCCTTTAGGGGGTATGCAGGTAAACAGTGAACATACATCGTAGGATGTGATAATCTCATCATTTTCAACACAAATATCCTTGATTTTGTTGACAAAGTCTTCACTGTTTTTTACATGATGTTCTGATTTACCAACCAGAGGACCAATGATGTTGGCTAAGAACCGTGCAAGTTGATAAGTCACCGATCCTATGCTGGAAACAATTGGCCGAAGAGGGATGTTATTTTTATGTATTTTTGGAAGTCCATAGAAGGCTGGCGGTTGTACATAAAAATAACATCCCTCTTCGGCCAATTGTTTCCAGCATAGGATCGGTGACTTATCAACTTGCACGGTTCTTAGCCAACATCATTGGTCCTCTGGTTGGTAAATCAGAACATCATGTAAAAAACAGTGAAGACTTTGTCAACAAAATCAAGGATATTTGTGTTGAAAATGATGAGATTATCACATCCTACGATGTATGTTCACTGTTTACCTGCATACCCCCTAAAGGAGCTGTTGAAGTGGTAAGAGAATTCCTTGAAGCTGATGACACCCTGAAAGAGAGATCTAAATTGTCAGTCAACCAGATCTGTCAACTCTTGGAACTTTGCCTTGAATGTACATATTTTACTTATGATGGCAAGTTTTACAAGCAAGTACAAGGTTGCGCTATGGGTTCTCCCGTATCTCCTATCGTGGCCAATCTCTACATGGAGAAGTTCGAACTTAAAGCTATCAATAGCTTTCCTGGTACCCCTCCTGCCAACTGGTTTAGATACGTGGATGACACATGGTGTCGGCTCAAGAAGGGATTGGCGGACAGTTTTTTCGAACACATTAACAAGGTTGACAAACATATCAGCTTTACTCAGGAGACCAGTCAAGATAACACACTACCTTTCTTGGATGCCAAACTACATGTAGAGACAGACGGTCACATTGAGGTGGAGGTTTATCGTAAACCTACTCACACCGATCAATATCTCATCTTTGATTCTCACCATCCCTTGGAACAGAAACTTGGTGTGATAAGAACCTTGTTTCATCGAGCAGACACCTTGATTACTTCGGCTGAAGCCAGAGCCAAGGAACATACTCACCTCAAGAAAGCTCTATCCAAGTGTGGATATCAACAATGGACTTTTAACAAAGCACTTAAGCCTTCCGACTCATCTAAGAAGACGTCAAGAAACTCACAGTTAGACAGGACTAAAACAGTCAACATTTCCATCCCATACATCCAAGGAGTTTCGGAGAAGATAAGACGTATCTTACACAACTACAACATCGCCACCAACTTCAAACCATGTCGCACTCTCAGACAGATGTTGTTTCATCCAAAGGACAAACTTAAAAACTGTGTGAAATCGGATGTCATTTACAGACTAAAATGTGAAGATCATCAATGCCAAGAAACGTACATCGGGGAGACCAGTCAGCCGCTCAAGGAAAGATATAAGCAACACTGCAGGGCCAGTAACAGTGGATTTTCTTCGGCCATATGGCACCATCTGGACAAACATAAAGGACATTCTTTTCATCTTGAATCAACGGACATCTTGGACCGGGAGGCGCGCTGGTTTGAGCGTGGAGTCAAGGAGGCGATTTATGAAAGACTTTATAAACCATCACTCAACAGGAAGGGAGGACTTAGAGTTGAACTTTCAAGTACATGGGATTCTACTTTACAGCATATCTAGGGACTCACTTATCTTTATCATTACATTAGTTAATACTTTACCATGTGTATTGTATATAGAATCTATAGAACGCTTGTTGCTAACTTATTATTTGTTTATTTAGAACATAAATACTTTTAGAATTAACGGTGCCGTTCCGAGTTCTATCTCAATTTTGAATATTTCACTGATGAAAGATGCCGGACGGCGTCTGAAACGTCTGACATTATTTTCTTATTTTATCCAGAAGTAAAGATTCAAACTTTTCTTATTAGTATTATCCTGGATGATTAATCTTCACAAACGTGACAGTAACCCATGTTTGTCGTTCCCAGGCTGACACCATGCGGGTTCTGTGGGCATGGCATGATGACGACCCTGAGGACGAGAGCGGCCCGAGCGGCCCGGCCTACCACGGGTCCAACCGGGGGACCAGGAGCACGGTCCTGCTCAGTAACATCATCGCTCCGGACAACTTCAAGGAAACAAACTACACAACCGTTGACCTACTCATGAACAATGTAAGGTTTACCCAAACGTATTGTTTTGCTCAGTTTCTTCTTCCTCCTCCTCCTCTTCTTCTTTTTCTTCTCCAAACAGTGACCTCTGACCTGAAACAATGATGTGTCTGTTGCTATGGTAACTAGTGTTGGGTTACATCATGTTGCAATTTCATAGCAGAAGGGATTTAGACTGCTGTCCCCATATATTTGATGTGTTTGAGTAAGAATTAACAGAGCAGACCATATGCGAAGGTAAACATTATGTATTTCCCTTGCAAACGTTACCTTTCTAGTTACAATTGTTATCCTATTAGTATGAGCATTAACAAACGTTAAAACTGCATTGTTTTCACACGGCGCTAAGAGTGCTGCCATGTTAAAACTTTTACGTCATGCAGGTGCCATCTTGTTTTCGTTTGTTGACGTCACGCCCTTGCTGATGACAAACAAAATTGCATTGATTTCATCACCCTTATATTCATGCCATCTGTACTTGTCTGCTCGTTGCGATGTAGACAGAGCTTACTGCTTTTGCGTGACGATTCTGTTTTTTCTTATCCAGGTCTCCGTTCCTGCTGACCAAGACACGACTTACTGGTGCCGCGTATTTGAGCTGCCTGAACTAGCCGGCAAACACCACATGATAAAGGTATGAAATAAAGACTGAACTTTAACTTCCAACATTAGATATAGAATTGGGACTTACCCCAAATTTTCGGTTGACTCCATCAACCTTGTTCACGGAATGGACCCGTCTACTCTTAGAACGTGACGTCAGAGACACGTGACCGTAGTAGCGGGTCATACGTGCCAGGTAACTTGTGTCGCCCCCCGTCTCTGTTCAGGGTAAAGACATGATAAAGGTGTCTGTCTTTCGTTCTTTTTTATCTATATATTATGTAATTCTGGACACAGCATGTTCCTTTCACATTTTCAAGATGCCAACCCTCAGACCTGATTGTAAGATTGGAATCACTCACAGGGAAGGACCCTACTCTTTTGGATAAGTGCGGTGGGTTCTTTGCTTGAGGCGTGGGTCTCCTAAACTCGGGACCATACTATTGAATCCTTTTTTTTATAATCCTTTATTTCATCTTTATTAATAGACCATTTTCACCTAAGCCTAACCCCATGCCCAATACAAATTCGGTGCCAGTTGTGTGCCTTTGCAGGCTGAAGGTGAACTGGCAATGTCATGTTGCCATTACACTGCCTTCACAGAAGTCAAACCCCAGAATACAGTATTAACGTATTATAGCAGTAGTGTAAGAAGTTGATCAGACCGGAGGGGGGGGGGGTAATGTTCAACCTCCTTGATCAGACGGTAATTGTCTCCCTTTGACCTTGCGTTCTTTGGCAATGTACAAGAAATTAGCCTTGGGGCTGATTTTACAAATGAGTAAAGATTTTTCCCCTGATTTTTCCTCAGTACGAGCCCATCATCACACCCGGTAATGAAGGCGTGGTGCATCACCTGCTGATCTACAGCTGTCAGAAGGACAGCAGCGTCACCTTCCTGCCCCAGGAACATCCGGGACATCAGTGCTACACTCCCAACATGCCCCGCGACTGGTACCCATGCTACGGAGGGAGCCTGCTGGCAGCCTGGGCCATCGGGGCTGAGGTATCACTGCTAGTCTCCACCAGACTCCTTTGCAGGCTGAACAAGAGTTCCACGATCTCATACCTTCGCCAAATGATGTTAACCCTTGCAATTTTAATCATTGATTTTGTAAATAAGAGCCTCATCTGCATGGATTGTATCAGTTGATCATGTTCTCCACCAAATGACAGCCTTATCTTGACAAAAAGGCTATTATAGCACTTCCACACAAATTATGCAAATGAGGTCATGATTTGAATAAATTATGTTTATTTATGTTCACCTTCACTTAACTTCCAAATGTGGCAAGTATGAAATTCGGGGTGCAGCAGTTACAACTATGGAATTATAAGAATTTGCCATTAATTATGCAAATTAGGTCCTTATTTACATAATCTATATCCTCAGATGTTTTTCTCGTTCTCAAGTAGATGTCACAAGTGTTTCATAGTTCTATTATCGAACAAAGCAGATTTATAAAATTTCCTCATTAATTATGCAAATTAGCTCTTGATTTGCATAATTGCCATCTGATTATGTCAAGCATCACTTCAACTACCTACATACCAAAAATCACGACAATACGTCAACCGGTTCTTGAGATATCGCCCTTCAATTTTTTTTCAACAAATGCTCCTGCAGTTCCAGAACAAGGCGCTAGGGGACCCAAACTCATGACACTTCTTTCCTACCCCAAGAGCTATCTACCAACCAAAATTCGTGACCCTAGCATGTCCAGAACATGAGATATCAAAACCGGAAGTTCAGCTGCAGTACCTAGGAAAGCCGCCAGGGGGCCCAAAATCTAATCATTTCTAGGTCTTATGAAGACCTACCCACCTACTAAGTTTCATTTCAATCCATCCACTGCTTCTCGAGTTATCTTGCTAAACCACACACACACAAACACACACACACACACAGACAAACGCTACTGAAAACATAACCTTCTTGGCGAAGGTAATAAATGGTAGAAATCGGCCTAAAAGAATGTACCTTTGGGACTCTATGGCCGGCCAACTACCCTGGGCAACTAAACATGATTGTTCCTAGGCCGATTTGTACTATTCATTCAGCCTGCAAAGGAGTTGTGTCTGTTTGTGTATCCTGCCGTTTCTTGGTACTGAGAAAATTTTGGGTTAGAGAGATGAAGTGGAGAGAGAAGGACTGAGACTCTCTCTCTGCGTTTCTCTCTCTCTCTGTCTCTCTCTCTGTCTACAATGAGTCTGTGTATGCGTGTTCATGTGTGTGGGCGTGTGTGTGTGTTAATCTCCAAGTATATCCTAAGGGTGGAAAGAGACAGTATCAAATTGGCCAGGCAGTATCCATCGGCCGGAGAGGGTCATATATGACACCCTATCTGGCCAATGGATACTGCCTGGTCAATTTGATACTGTCTCTTGCCACCCTTAGGATTCCCGGACATTTTACTACTAGAATATCCTGAGTTTTCAATATTTGTCATTGTCATTGTCATTGTCAATATTTTCAATATTCTGAGTTTTTAGAAATCATATGTTACTTGCTTACATAATTCCTCACAACACCAACAGCTATACATGTTGCATCAGCGTATCTCTTTTCTCTCCAGGCTATGGCATATCCTGCGCACGTTGGTTTCCCTATCGGTGATGTTGACGACAGCCGCTATGTACTTGTGGAGATGCACTACGACAACCCTCAGCTGGCGTCAGGTTAGAAACTACCAAACATTCCTCTGCCTATTTTCATGGGCTCACATCTATGCGACTTTTACATTAGACTATACTTTCAATACAAATACGTTTTTGCATATATAAGGCTGTTAAACATTGATAATTTGTAATCACTTTTTGTAGTTACGTGATTATGATTTAGGGGTTGTCCGAGTCATGTACTCATGTATATGTAGTTGCAAATACAGAACTTTGCAATTGCTATTCAATCATTCAACAGCCTTTTGAAATTATTCACGGAGTCTTCGTCATCTTAATAATCTTCATCGTAATTATTTTAAGTTGATGCATATGGCCTTATGTTAAGTTGTGTGTTACATTATTTCTTTATAATTGTTGTCAGGGTATTTATGTTTTGTATATTCCCCTGTGATTGTCGTGCTGTGTGCTAGAACGGACTATAGGAAGAATAGCTACTGTCATGCACATGTATGCTACATGAGGATCCTAATAAACTCACTCACTCTAAGTAGTACTGACATAGTATTGCCCGTCTTTACCGTAGGAATCCGTGACAGTTCGGGGCTGCGGCTGACGCTGACGCCTGAGCTGAGGGACCACGACATGGGCATCCTGGAGGTCGGTGTGCTGGTGAACAAGCACCACGTCGTCCCGCCTAGCGCCGAGGGGTTCGTGTCGGCAGGCTTCTGTAACGCCAACTGTCTCAACGCGGTAAGTACGTTTTATCTTAAGGGAACAAAAATGCTCCTGCAGTTCCTGAGAATGTTGCTAGCTAGGGGGCCCGAACTCACGCCACGTCGTCCCTCCTCGCACTGAGGGGTTCGTGTCGGCAGGCTTCTGCAACACCAACTGTCTCAACTCGGTAATGTCCATCTTCGTATAAAGAGTCTCAGAGCATGTTGCTAGGGTGCCCAGGGTTGACGACACACTTTAAAGAAGCCATGTGACAAGCGTCATTGGGTCATTCTATTGAAGAAGGCCAGAGTGACTGGTTGAAACCTCTTGGTTCTTTCTATGTGTTGGAACAAATTTCTCAACTTTAAACAACGCTTCCTTCTGTATGTAGTTCCTGGAGGGGCTAGTTGGAGAACATGGCAGGATTAGAACCGGGACCTCTTGGTTCTGAGCCGAGCACTCTGCCGTTACGCCACACGACAGCACTTTACTTTATGTAACGTTAATTACGCCTCTTTCTGTACGTTGTACATGATAGTTCCTGGAGGAGCTTGGAGAGCCGATCCACATCATCGGCCTTGAGCTTCACTCCCACCTGCTGGGTGTGAAGATGAGCGCCCGTCTCATCCACAACGGCACGGAGACCGAGATCGCGCGGGACGACAACTACGACTTCAATCTGCAGTTTTTCCGGATGCTGAAGAAAGAAGTCACCGTCTACCCGGTACGAGAAGTTGTTTTTTTCTTTTACAATAGTTCAACATCGGGTTTTCCACTACTTCCCATATGCATAGTCTTCATCAAATGTTTCACCCATTTTCACTGATCTTCGAGATGCGTGACGTCATGGGTAGGTCAAAGGTGCCTCAGAAGTCTATACCGACCGCCGTTCCAGTTCGACTTGGGGTCCCGTATGTTACAACATATCGTGACTCTAGTTAAATCTGATATCCTTGGCGACTTTTGGTCGTTACATAATAACTTAAGTGTAGGGAGGTGATTGGTATTCGTTGTTTGTGTGTGTGTGAGTATGTCTGCATGGTTGATTCTGTGTCCCTAGTTTTTATTCCTGCGCTTCTCGTTAGCTGTGACGTGTTTTGCGTAAGAGGTTCCCCCTGAGGTATACATAATACTGATTCAGAAATATTCCCGTTCAAAGGACATAGTACGATGGCTTGCTATGGGGAATAATTTCAATAACCACATACAGACTGAGATGATCACGACGACAAACGATACAAATGGATCTGCATGTGCCACAATCCAAATCACCATCTATGGATAAACACATTCATCTATCTAAGACTTATATGTGGTTTGAACCGGTCTTCTGACATTTTCGCTTTTTTTTTCCAGGGTGATACTCTGGTTACTGAATGCACTTACCGCTCAACGCACAAGGACAAGGTTACGTATGTAAGTAGGACTTTTGGTCATAACTCAAAACAGCCCTACCGGTATCAAAACAGCCCTGAAACGTCTCTGTTGAGACGGATTAATACAAATAATAATACGTTGTAAATCAACCACACTCAGATGTTTAGTTACTGTAATATTTTATTTTAATAGTTGGTAATATTGTATGTTATTCGTTAAATTGAGTTGTGCAATATTTTATGTACTATGTAAGTGAAACGTACTTCAGCCTGATGGCTGCGATGTTTTACATAATAAACCATTCATTCATTCAGTCATTCATTCATTTAAGTTCATTGTACAATTTTACATTGTCACCAACTTAGATTTCAACATCTATAAAACCTAAAAAAACATTTCTACTAAAATCACAAAACCCAGTTGTTATTATAATTTGAAACACACACAACTTACTAAAAGTCTCCATTCGTTTATCATTTCATCAAAATATATGACTATAATCATTAGCCAGTTAGCGGACGTAAACTAACTAGGCTTGTATCCAGGTCATGAGCTGCTGCATTACATGTAGAAGAACTAGCTTAACTCAGAGAGGGTATAAAGACTAAACACATTTTCTTACCTTTTCACGTTGTAGTATCCCTTGTAACTGTGCTTCCCTCGAGGTGCTTTTGTTGTTCTTGGCGAAAATGCAAGATTTCGAAGTGGAATGTGGGAGATTTGGGTGAATCTATTATAATGATAGGGATCGATATTATTGGAATGTAAAATTCTGCCGATTCCAATGACCGGCAACTCGCTACGATATGTATGGGACAGAAGTTAATCATGTTTTGAAATTGTATAAAAACGTTGTAGAGAAGGGATCTTGGAAAAAAATTACGTAGGCCCTCCCCTAAATTAAAATATTTTTTCCTAGGCCCTCCCCCCGGCTCAATTTTTTTTCCTAGGCCCGCCCCCCTTTAGACGACCGGCCTTCCCTCCCCGCTAAATATCGTACAGTCCCTAAAACTACTGCCTTGTTCCACAGGGTGGCCCTGGAACCCCGGACGAAATGTGCGAAACCTTCTTCCTGTACTACCCACGGTTCAACCTCACCTTCTGCGACAGTCTACCCAACCTGTACAGCACCGCGAGCTTCGCTGGAGTCGAGAATTTTGAATAGTACGTAGTCCAAAGTACTGATTCCAAAGCGAATGTGAGAGCCTTAAGTGAATGGACAGTCTAAACTTTGTTTCGTCTTCTTTATTTGTTCAGATGGATGATTTGTATTGTTTCATTAGTTCATCCAATTGTTTCTGTTTATTTCCTGTTATTTTTGTCTTCTTCGTTAAAATTTTGTTTCATTCAGTATCAATGGTAACATTTAATCTTATAGTGTTGGGAAGGGCAGTATATAAACCTCTAGGTTTCTGGCCCCCCCATGCATGTCTACTTAACTTCAATTGTGATATTTATGGGTTCACTATGGTTTCACCACAATATGGTCTCACCACACCACTTCGTGGTGTGGTGAAACCATATTGCTTTTTCTGATGTTTCTTCTTCTCCTTCTCCTCCTGCCATTTCTTTAAATGGATTCAGCTTCTTCATTTTAGGGCCTAAGGTCCTGAAATTTGGTATGGAGGTACAGTGGGCAAATACCCCTAGGCGTTTTTTAAATTTTTGTGATACAAGCTTTTACAATCGTTTTATTTGCTTTTTTAGCGGTCCCCATAGGAAAGTACTGTGCGGGGGCGTACGCGCGTGACGTAATAAGAAAGAAATTCGGCGGCATGCCCATATATGGGCATGCAAGCATGAACCTGACGCAGCCTAATCTTTTCTTCTTGCTGATTGGCTGTTGGATTTGATTGGATTACCTCAATTAACACCTGTTCAAAGCCATTCCATTTTGACAGTATGAACTCAAGTGTTTTGGTAGGTACAGCACAGGCCACGAAATACGCATCAATTTTCGAGGGACGTTCTGCGGGAGAGTGCAGGACGCTGTGCGGGACTTCCCTCGGGAGAGTGCGGGACGTCCTCCGGGAGAGTGCGATACGTTCTGCGGGAGAGTGCGGTACGTCCAGCGGGAGAGTGCGGTACGTTCTGCGGGAGCCAGACATTTTGCTCTTCTCTGTTGGAACAACGCAAGTTGGAGGTCAATGACCTGCGCCCGGCGTGTAAACAAGATTGGACA